CCCCACAGGAGTAGTGGGAATTTGGGCACAGAACTTAGTTTTGTATGTTTGTATTTACTTTATGGTATTGTTTACATTCTGCTATGACAACTTTCGTCAGGTCATACAGTGAGACTGAAACATGGTCATTTTTCTCTTAACCCAATAAAGCTGATTGAGTATTAAGAAGCTGCTGTGTGCTTATGTCGATAGGATTTCTAGAATTGAAAAACATTGTCAAAAAATGTCTGGGCACACACAGAGTTTCTCCAAGGCAGTCTTTATTTGGACTTTATTTGCACATTGAAGGTGGCAAAGTTTCATTTCTGTTACAGAGTATTTCTTAAGCTTGAGAAACAGAGCCAAAATGTTGCCAGGTTCAAGGTCCACATAAAGTCTGCACTGTTTGCCTGGCCATTTTATGACATTGTCTACTATATGTAAATATTGTCATTCCAGGACTGAATCCTTCTGCTTTATGCTAATAGGGAGATACTGTATGGCAAAAAACACATGCATATTTGCATCAATAATGCATTATGATAACATTTTAAGCTTGTTGCAGTGGCGACATAATTGTGTTAGTTGTGTTTTTTGGGTACTTATAGACCATTTGCAAAAGAAGAGCAATATTTGAATTCCACAGTGTATCCACATCATTATTGCCAATCAGGTGATTGGTGTTAAACAGAGAATAAACCAAGAATTGTCCAGAAATTGTTCCACAATTCATTGGCTTACATTGGCTTACATTGGCTTGTTTTTTAGACAAACCTTTGCCAAAACTCTGTTCCCCATTTCTGGTAATTTTCTATCTAAATCTGTAGGATGAGTTACTAAAGATCTACCTCTTAACAGCTGAATCTTTGGAAACGTCTTCAAGGAATTCTCAGTATGAACTATTACAGTACAAATAAATTTTATTCAAAAACAGGACTGTGACTTGACATTCAGGGTTATTAACTAAAATCTGAATTGTCGAGAATTCAAAGTGAATTTCAAATTTAAAGCCAAAGTAGAAGGAGCTGACTTTGGACATTTTTCCACTTTGGCTATGTTGACCTTAAATTTGAAATTCACGTTGAATTCGCTGTTTGTTGTAATGTTGCCATTCACCAAGGAGTGGAGTTGTTGAGGTTTTCTTGTAATTATGGAAATATAATTCATGTTGTTATAGCATATTTGTGTAGGTAAACAGTGACAGGAGACCTTGTAGCCCATAACCTATGCAAACAGCATAGGTTGTTATGTTCGGAAAATCAACTTTAATTTCATGATGCTCTAAAAAGCATGGTAAGAAGCACAGTAACGCTTCAGTAATAATTTGCATTTTTTCATAAATTCGTTACAGTCTTTTGGGAACCTCTTAAAGCAGGTGTTGGAGTATTTCCTTAATTTGTGCAATACAGAGCTGAAACACTTCAATAAATCATAGATCAATCAAATTTCACAAATTATTTTACAGTCCAAAGTACCTTGCCTTTTAAAGGTTTAATGAAATACAAGATTAGATTGGAGCAGTTTTAAAACTGCTTAACAGTAAAGTGCAATAAATTCTAAAGATAGAGGAAACCATTGCATACAAAATTAGTTATTGTTATAGCTATATTTCATAAACAAAATGTTTTGAGGAGTGCTGTATTTTAAAATGTCACAAATGTATTTTGCATATCCGCAGTTTTGCACATGTCTGATACCAATAACCAGTTATGTTCTTTAAGTATTCAAAAAAACATGTGATCCTTTTGTGTGTATTATAAAAAAATAAACTGAAAAACAAACTATATATATATATATATATATATATATATATATACAAAAAAATACACAATCCAGCGCACTCGCGTATTCACTAAACAATGATTTCAAATCTTAGAGCTTGTAATAGTTTTATTTAAAAACACCTCACCTAGGCAAAAAATAATGGGGGTTTAGTTACATTATATGATCATATATTGCATAAGCCTGCCACAATGTCAATATACCCCATTCTTGGCAAGCCTAATGCTTGCTATATATATATATATATATATATATATATATATATATATATATATAGTGTTCCAGTAGAGATTGTAGCCATATTAGTCCAGTAATGTAGATGTAAAAAACAGATACAATTTGTATCTTGTAATACCTTTTTTTATTGGACTAGCAGAATTTTTTAATGACAAGCTTTCGGGAGAACCTTCCCTTTCTCAAGTCTAAAGCATTTCTGAGCAAGATGATACATAAAATTCAAAGTTGAGTTGTGATACAGGGGTTAAAGGACATGTGTGCAGATAAGACACAGGTATAATAGAGAATATATAACATTCTCACAGAGGGTCGTAAATATCTAGTGTGAAGATCATAGAGTGAGGGGGAGGATGGGGGTTGGCAGTGGCGGATCCAGGGGGGGGGCAACGGGGCAATTGCCCCCCCCGAGAAATCCGCCGGTCTCCCTCTCCCCTGCCAGCAGCACATGCAGGTGCTAGCCTTGCAATGTGCCTGCGGACCGGAGGGGAGATCACAGATCTCCCTCCCCGGTCCGCAGGCACTGTGCTGGCGGCCGGCGGGGAAGGAGGGAGAGGGAGGAGAGAGGACCCGGAGCTCAGGCTGCAGCTCCTCCGGGTCCTCCTCTCGTGAGATTTGGAGCGTTGCCGCGGTTACCACGGCAACGCTTCAAATCTCGCGAGAGTGAACTCTAGCCCGGGAGCGCGGGCTAGAGTTCACTCTCCCCACTAGGACCACCAATTAATCGCCCACCGGACCACCAGGGAAATGTCCCCCCTCCCCCCAGTAAAGGTAAGAAGGGAGGGGGGACATAATGATTATTTATATTAAACTAAATTTAAAAAAAGTATTTTTAAAAAAAAGCCCCCCACCCTTATCACACACACACACTCTACACACATACACTGATCCCCATACTGCCCCCCCATACACACATTGCCCCCCACACTGCCCCCCATACACACATACTGCCCCCCCATACACACATTGCCACCCATACTGCCCACCCCCATACACACACACATTGCTCTCCATACTGTTTCATACACACATTGCTCCCCTACAGCCTTCCTCATACACACACATACACACATATTCACCCGATACATATTACTGTTCCTCATGCCCCAATACACACATGCTGCCCTGCCCCCATACACTGCCTCATATACACACACTGCCCCCCATACACTACCCGATACACACACACTGCCCCCATACACTGCAATACTCACACACACATTGCAACTGTTACACTGCCGCCCTCACACACACACTGCGCACACACTGTCCCCCTCTCACACACACACACACACACTGCACCACTCACACACACACCACTGCTCCTATGCCCTACTACTGCCCCATTTCCCAGCAGACCTCAGGTAAGTTGTCAAACTGTTCTTAAACGGTTTGACTACTTACTCTAGGAGGGGGTCCCGGCACTATTGACACCATAACCACTACACTGAGCTGTAGTTGTTATTGTGTCTGGATTATTTCTTTAAATAATCTACAAGTGCCCCTCCCGAGATCAGGCTCTGGATCCGCCACTGGTGGTAGGTGGGCTTAAGCGGGGTTATTCCTTTAGGATGTATGCTAGGTGGGCTTAAGCAGGGTTATTCCTTTAGGATGTATGCTAGGTGGGATTAAACAGGGTTATTCCTTTAGGATGTATGCTAGGTGGGATTGAGACAGTGTTACTCTGGTGTAATGGGTGTATGTTGGCAGGCTTGTTTGTTTTTTGGGAGTGGGCTAGGGTTGCCGTATCTTTATACAATGTAGTTGTAACCTTTTATCCTTTCCTTTTTATCCCTGCGTGGAACTAAATGGTTTCCTTGGGGTGGGAAGGGAAGTTCCAGCCTCTCGGTGATGTAGAATATTTGCCCCTAACCTCGATTGCACTAAGAGCATCCTGTTTGATGTTGACCTTCCTTTGCCAAGGGGCGACGCAGAATGTAACTTCCATCCTGCTACATGCTCACTCACTCCATGAGTTTCAGCATTTCACAACCACTCAGCATGTGAACGCCACCTATCCCTTCTAAGATTCCTGCACACTATACCATATCTCTGTGTGTATTTACATTTGAGAGGTTTATCGTTCCACATTGACCATTTAAAGTGTAAGCTCATCTGCCAACGTCAAAGCAGCCTTTTAGGTGAAATTAGGCCAGTTATATTATTAATGTAGGACTCGTTTAAAAGGGTTTGGTTTGATGCTTGGCAGGTGAGCCGGCGTTTTAATGCCCATTGCTGTATTTCTAAAAACCTCTGTTTTATCATTTTGATAGGGATTTGGGCAATTTGCTTATTCTGTTCTGCATGTCGCTTCTGACTGGAAGGAATGGATTTGGGCAAATAGTTTGCAGTTTCTGTATTGTGAAATTCCAGATTCCTTCGCATGTTATGTGTCCAGGTAGAGGGGTCTATGGGACACATTTCTACTTAGAGGGGGCGTTTCCTGCCTACACCCGTTAAGGAATTTGCAATGTGTCACAGCCCGTTCTGAGGTCTGGTATGGGGGAGGGATGTGAGGGACTCAGGAAGTGCTCAGGGAATTTTATTTGGGAGAGATGAACTGAGCAGGTAAGCCTCTTTCTTTATCCCCTGCGTATGCCCCAGACACCAGGCTTTGCACACTGTAAGATATCTAACGATATAGAATGTGGCTTATTGTTTTATATATAGTCACTGAGACTGTTTTCCCCATTTTCTTGCAGAGAACCACTCTACAGATCTGCATGTTTGTTTCAATTTGTTAGTAACTTATTTTCTGTATGCATGTATTTCGCAATTATTTTACATTCCTTTACACATAATGCAAGTTCAGCGTATTATTAATGGCTGATTCCTATCGCCTGATTGGGAGTGGTGGTTTCTCTCTTTTTAACCTTTTACAAAAGAGTCTTATAAAACTCTTTCCCATTTTAGAACTTTGCTTCCTATGAACGCACCTTAATGTAACACACTTTTTATTGATGATATGCAGGCAGTAGAAGACCGGATTTTTGTTGGTCCCAGAGATGGAGTATGTGGTAAGACCAGACCTCCAGTGTAATTTTCTTTGGTGGGGAGGTTCGGTATTCTCTGGTGATGGTGGTGGAGGGATCTTTGCTCTCTGGTGATGGCGGTGGAGGGATCTTTGCTCTCTGGTGATGGCGGTGGAGGGATCTTTGCTCTCTGGTGATGGCGGTGGAGGGATCTTTGCTCTCTGGTGATGGCGGTGGAGGGATCTTTGCTCTCTGGTGATGGCGGTGGAGGGATCTTTGCTCTCTGGTGATGGCGGTGGAGGGATCTTTGCTCTCTGGTGATGGCGGTGGAGGGATCTTTGCTCTCTGGTGATGGCGGTGGAGGGATCTTTGCTCTCTGGTGATGGCGGTGGAGGGATCTTTGCTCTCTGGTGATGGCGGTGGAGGGATCTTTGCTCTCTGGTGATGGCGGTGGAGGGATCTTTGCTCTCTGGTGATGGCGGTGGAGGGATCTTTGCTCTCTGGTGATGGCGGTGGGGGGGATCTGGGCTCTGTGTTGATGGCGGTGGGGGGGATCTGGGCAAGTAAATCTTGGTTAACAAAGCCCTTTAATTTGGAATCAGAAATCCAAACACCTGTCTCTACCAGCAGAGAGACAAAGGTTTGGGGTGGGTAAAGGCGGGGGGGGGGGGGACATGAAACAAGTCCTACCCTGACCTCCGGTTTGATTTCTAATTTACAAACTCTAAATGGTCTAAATGTAAACCTAGAGCCATATAATGCTAATGTACCTAACACAACCTCTTATCTCAGCACATGTAACCTTATGGCTGCTATTCTTAGCTCTTCTGGGTCCTCCTGCAAACTCTCTGGGTATAGGGGGAGGGTATAAAGACGCCTCTCTGTCCACATTATCAGGTTCTGTTCATTTCCCACAAGGAGGATGAGCAGTTTGCCAGCAGGAAAAACACTGTTACATTGAGGGTCCACACTCAGAGACCCTTAGCCCCACCTGTTGCCTGCTTGTGAGGCACACTGTCCAGCTCCAGGCCTCTGTATTTATATATAATTTATTATGAACAAATTCTTGCACAGGAGTTTCATTTCTTCTCTCGTATGGCTGTATTGGGTAGTATGGGAGTTGCATAGGGAGCAATTCAAGGTTATATCTACAGCCTTTTCCTGGCTTAACAAGCTCTACGCATCGTGGTTCTCAAATGTTTAATTGATGGCCAAATAATATATCCTTAAACGTGCCTTTTCCCAGCTTTTGGATTTTACATGCTGTTTTTTTTTTTTTGTTTTTTTTTTTAACAGCTCTGGCAATGATAAGGTTAATAGGTCTGTGGCCTCCATCCATATCCCATCTCTTCCCTTCCTGTGTGCTCTCTCCTGTTCAAGCGGTGGGAGGGCTGCAGGAAGCCAGGGGGTCTCCAGGGACAAGCTGGGCAGTCAATTAATAGAGAGCGGAAGACTGGCGAAGGGGGGGGGGGAGAGACCATGCTCCATTCTGGAGTATTGGGTGGGGGTGGGGGGGCTGGGCAAAGGAGCTATCAATCATAATATGCTGCTTTGCTTATACAGGGCTGTGTCTACTTATGAGGCTCTACCAGAAACAGTGCTTGGTTAAAGAGCAGCGTAGACACTGCATAGCAGACTTTGTTTAATCCCTAGCTCCTGCTGTTGGCAGTATACCAAGTCCAAATCATTTTTAGAGTTTGCTTCCGTGATGCTATCAAATTGGTTAGTAAACAAATTGTTAGAGACCACTTTATTATAAACAAGTAGAGGCACAGCCCAGGGCCATTCCTCGCTTTCATTTTACCGCCTCTACTGGGAGGCAGTTCCCTTATAGCAATAACATATATATATTTTTTTTTATTATTCATTCTATGATTGTATTTATTTATGTGGGTGGCTGTAATACCAGCAATGGGTCGTGTTTTTAAATAAAATGTTAATTGTATGAATGGATCTAGTGAGTGCTGCTGGCATAGCTCAATGGGGTGCCCACCTGCAGTCCCGTAAGGCCACAGACAGACCTGATGTGGAACCTGGCACATTAACACGGTCTTTAGATTAAAGCCCAGAGAATGGACATTAACACCCACTGATTGCAATTTGACGATAGTATAACCCTTGCATAGCAGTGGATCTAATATACTGGGGTGTCTTAATTTATCACTTAGTGACGCTCGCTATCCGGCTTGCCAGGAGAGGTTCGGATCAGAGGTTGGTCCCCTCACACGCATACAGTCGTCCTTGCCCATCTGTGCAGATGCGTAGCAGGATCATGAAACATGGGGTAATTGGTATATTGTAGATCAGATATCCCTTGTTACTGTCAGGCCATGTGGCACCTAACAGGTTAATCTTAGGGACAGTATAGACAATTGTGGAGTAACCATTCTATACATGACTTGAATAAACCTGATTGCTTCTGCATGCACACCTTGTTATTCTTAATAGTTTGACACCATCATTCTTACAACATGGTGATGTCCTGTTTTGTATAAAAAACAAAAAACAAAAATTGGAGCAGTCTTACAATTCGATTGCAAGCTCTGAAGGTCAGGAAGTCCATACTGGATTTGAGAGACTGAAATCTAATTTGTGAAATGGTTTGATAAGAGCTGTGGGTGCAGTACTCAGGTTTCAGGTGGAGGAAATGAGCCCGTATAATGTTAGCAAGCCACTCTTCCTGTGAGTCAGCACAGTGTTTGTAAAATTGGGCAGCTGCCCCTTCTCCTGGGAGCATTAAATAGGTAATCAGGCTGCTTGCTCCATTAACAGAGATTCTGCTCCCTGGATGAAGATGTCATGAGACTCGTGCCCTTGTCTAGTCACCTGAGTTGCTGGGCTGTCCATTCAGTGCAGTGCTAACCTGCATGCTTGGTTCTGGATGGGAGGCAGACCTCCCCATCCTGATCAATGGTCCTTTCAGGATCGCCTTCCCTTTTTCATTATTAAAGAAAGAGGAGGTATGTCTCCTTGGCTTGCAGTGTATAATTTTTTTTTAATGAATGCATGGTTCAGACAGCTGGGATATACCCAGAAGGATTAGCAGGCGCTTGTAAAAGCTTGCCTGGTGTCCTTGTGTTCTAGAGGTGGCCCCTCTTCCTTATACCCTCCTCCCATTCCTGGTATATGTTCATATATTTTTTCTCACTCTCACTGCTTCCTCCCGTTGGGTGGGGAAAGCAGCAATGAGTCGATGTTTCTTCCTGCATCTCTAACACGCAGTGCTGTAACCGCCCTCCGCAGTCCTCTGTCAGATGCTCTGGAGATGTCAGGCAGAAATTCAAGCATACAAACAGAGTGAGGAGCTGTCCTGATCACACACTGGGTCAAGGTACAGCATTGGGATGCACCAATCGGACAAGAAACCTTCACTTCTCTTGCTGTTCGCTGCAGGGAATTCATTGCTCCTTGGTTGACGGGGTAGTATGTGCCATGTGTTGTCTCTGGGAGACGGATAAACTGACTCTTTTCTGTCTTCCTCTTGACTATCTTTTTGTTTCTTTCCTTCATATCTGTGGATGGTGACCCAGCTCTCTCCTGATGGACTGTGTTGTACGTTCTTGTCTCTCACAAGTCCTTTTCATGGCCGGTGAAGACACCCTGGTCAGCTGATTTGTATTCTATATTTGGGATGTGATTGGAGGGTTCACATACTTTGGATGTGGTGTTGGGTACCACTCAGTGCTTTCCATCTCCTTTCTTCTTCTTCATGTGTAGTGTCAGACTATGAGACCCGGACCTCTTCTTGCTGTAGAGTGCAAGCTTCAAGCTGGCATCATGGATCTACTCCCAAAAACCAAATACAATCATCTTCGTAATGAGTCTGTAAGCTCCATGGAAGATGCCACAAGCAGCGGGTTACCCACTCCCTCTGTGGAAATCATGGTGCCCCAGTCTATGCCCAACTCCTCCTCCTCTTCTTCCCTGGCCCCCATTCTCCCCCTGGGTGAGTTGTCCTCTGAGTCAGAGGACAGCCCCACAACTCTGTGCTCCTTTTTCCCAAAAATGGCAAATCTCAAGCTTTCCAATCCAGCTAACCTTCTGAGCCTCCGCAGCTTCTCCTCGGGGACAGGCAAGGAGACAGGCAGCCCGGGGGATCAGGTAGATACCCCTGCAGGGGGTGGAAGCCCAGACTCAGGGAGAACTTTCACTGTTTTCTCCCAGGATATGAACAAGCTGAGCTGCGGCAGGAAGTCCCGAGTGGAAGGTGGGCAACTGGCCGGGGATGAATGGACCAGGCATGGCAGTTTTGTAAATAAGCCCACACGTGGCTGGCTACACCCAGATGAGAAGGTGATGGGTCCCGGAGTGTCCTACCTCGTCAGGGTAAGATACGCTTTTATCCCTATGTGTGTTTGATGTGAGCTATGGAAAAATAGGGGATTGAGGTGCACTTTTTTAAATTTCCCATGAAGGATTTTGTTTTCTGTACATCCCTTTCTGCCCAGGATATTTTTTACCTTTCTGTACTAACCTCCCCCTAACAGTTGTGTTCCTGCACCTCCATCCATCTCTACAGCTCTCTCTGCTGTTCCTTTAATGCCCACACTCCATCCTGTCCCAGGATTTTAACATTCCAGTCCTCCCTTCTATTCCTGTAATGCCTTTACTGCTCCATCCTGCCCTGTGGACCTCTATTCCTGCCTTTCTTCCTTCCTGATCCATATCCTGGTCAAACACTGAATGAGATGCAGGGAAACCAGACTTAATATGCTGCCAGAATGAGTGGCTCTTGGTGCTGTGTGATATTTATGAGCAATATGCCTGCATGTTTAGAAATATACTCACGGCCTCCTTCACCCGCACTCTTTCATTCTCTCTTACAGTATATGGGTTGTGTAGAGGTCCTGCAGTCCATGAGGGCCCTGGATTTTAATACCCGCACACAAGTCACAAGGTGAGGGATTCTCTAACTGCTTTTATTATTAATCCATTTCCTCAAAACCAAGTTTGTAAAGTCCTGCTCATTAGATTATCAGCTTTAGCGCTGAAAAGTCAGCAATGCCTATGGGATGATGTATAGTGTCTTGCTTGTCCTCTGACATGCAATAAAACAGTTGGATGCTATCACTGTGTATTTGTGGATCCACTCAGTCTGATTTTACGTCAAAGTGTCTGTCTGTCTGTACAGGGAAGCCATCAGCCTGGTGTGCGATGCTGTACCTAGTTCCAAAGGGGCCCTGCGAAGGAGAAAGGTATGTCCTTGTTGCGTATACATTAATAGGTTAACATAACTTTAGCGGGGGTAGGGTTAAATGATTAAAGTCATTCTAATAACGAAGAGTAATTGGAAGGATCAATAATGTGAGATTGTGTCTGGCTTGTATCTGCTAATGGACGTGGGCTAGGAGCAGAGGGTAACTCCCTCTCTGTCTCTTCTGCCTCTATACATATTCCAGGCCAGGGCCTTGACACTAAGTGTCACTGACATGTTTCTGTTAATCAGAGATAATGGAGCGTACTGGCATTATTAGAGGGAGAGGCTGGCTGATTTATTGATTAGCCAGCGTGTACTGTACAGGGATCTGAGCCCCGGCAATCTGTGCACATTGAACACCGCGTGCTCACTCCCCGGCCCACCTTCCCTCCATAACGCTTTCAAACCCCATATCTCATCTGATGATCAGTGTGTGACCATCCTTCCATCTCCCTTTTCTAACACTCTCATTTGCCCTCAGACCGGTGGACGGGCACTAAACTCCATTCTTGGGAAGAGCAACCTAAAGTTTGCTGGCATGCCGATCACTTTAACCGTGTCCACCAGTAGCCTGAATCTAATGGCCTCTGACTGCAAACAGGTAAAACACTCAGTGGAGCTTGCTATTTGCTTCTCTTTCAGTTGTGGAATTGTAACATGACCTAATATGAGATGACCTGGTGTAGCCAGATATTGGTTGTGATGTAATATCACCTGCTGCGTCTCTATTAATTGTACATTATGTCATTTCTTTCAACAGATCATTGCGAACCATCACATGCAGTCAATATCCTTCGCTTCTGGGGGAGATCCGGTAAGAGCGCTGCTCATTCTAGATGAGGGGTTCCAAAAAGGTAGATTCACCCTAGATGTTTGAAAACTACAGCTTCCCTGATGCTTTTTCATTCTAAAGACATGCAAAGCATCATGGGATTTGTAGTGCTTTAACAGCTGGGAATCTGCCTTTTGGGTGCCCCTGGTCTAGATATTCAGAAGATTGAACCACATAGATATATTTTCCAGATATGTCCTTTGGGCTGGGGGTAAATAGGTTGTATTAACTGTGTTCTGTTTATAGGGGTGAGGGTGGATATTAGATATGTAATGGTTTACACTGTGCTGTGTGTGGTGTTTGTGGCTGGTGCTATCCTTGGTTGGTAATAACAGTTTACATTTTTTTTAGGACACAGCTGACTATGTTGCGTACGTTGCCAAAGATCCAGTAAATCAGAGAGGTGAGACCTTCTCGTGTGTGTGTGTTTTAATGACAGTATGTACTCTACACAGGGTCATATATAAAGTATAATGGGAGGGGGCAGAGTAGTGGAAGAGGAACGCTGTAATAGAAAGTGTGCAGTTATAAGGCATGCAGGGAGTTTGGCTGCATGGAACAGTGTATTGAGGGGGGGGAGGGCGGTGTGCAGAGTAGGAGCTGGGAGTGATGTAGTATAGGGGAAAGGGTACAGCATGGGGTACTGGTTGGGGGGTCTGTTTATGGTGTGATGAGTGGGGAGTGTGTGGCTAAGTGGAATGGCTGTTTAATGGATACCTCAGACTGGACACTAATTTAGAATGCCCCAATTCTTTTCAGATCTGAGCATATCCCACAAACTATCTATCCAGCAGTTCAGAACTTGGCAGGGATCCAACTGCTGACAGCTTACTCATTGCTCCATTCACAGTTCTTTGAGTGAAGTTATCAGGTGCAATCTCCCATGTACACATCTGTGGCTTCGTCCCCCTTACAGCTTACTGTGCCGAGGTAGTTGAAGGCTGTAATCATATTTGTGCAGGCCTACAGAGAAGAGACTTTGGGCCATAACCTCTGCAAGTACGGTTCTTGTAAAGTGCATTAAGTGAGGAACGTGTAGTTGACATATAGGGTAGGTGGTTGGATTGGCAACCTGTGTAGTGGAAGGCATAGAAGGTTGAGAGTTGTCTACAGGATTATCTGTTAGGAGGGACTGTGTGGTCACCATGTCTGTATATAGGGAATGAATACCTTCTGCTTGTTTGAGATTTCTGACCTATTCTCTGTACCATAGCTTGCCATATCCTGGAGTGCCCCGAGGGTCTTGCCCAGGATGTGATAAGCACTATTGGGCAGGCTTTCGAACTTCGCTTCAAGCAATACCTCAAAAATCCTCCCAAACTGGTCACTCCTCATGACAGGTATATTTACAACTCTGGACCACTAACACAATCTTGGGTTGCTTCAGTGTGATATGTAAAATCTCTAAATTCATCTTTGCCATTTCAATATTCCCTGATGATCCCTTGTCCTTGACCGCTACTCTAATTATTTAGTCTAGCGGCCTCCTCCCTAGCTAATCATACTTTTTCCCCTCCATGTTCCTGGGTTCTCTATATTTAGTCCTGTCATTGTATTGTACAGGATGGCTGGGTTTGATGGTTCTGCGTGGGATGAAGAAGAAGAGGAGGATTTTCCAGACCATGCATATTACAATGATTTCCCAGGGAAGGAACCACCCATCGGAGGAGTAGTGGACATGAGACTAAGGGAAGGTGCAGCCCCAGCAGTACCCAGACAGAGTCCGAATCACATGGGCGCCACTCTGGTAAGTCCTTTTTAAAATCGAGATAAATGAGATACTGTTATACGTTGCAAGAGATTAATGATAAGTCTTTACTCACAGCCAGTGGGACAGGTTTCTGGAGCAGAACAAGATCGAAAGATTCAACCACAACCATCAGCACAAGGTACAGTGTCTACATTTGTCCAACTTGAACCCTTGTCTCTCATTCTACACTGATCTAACTGTAGACGTTGTGTTTTTCTCCTCTTTAGGAAGAGACAGGTTTCCAGTTCCAGGTGGCAAACCACCAAATCGTCCTGATCTGTTTGATGACCCATCCTATGTAAATGTTCAGAATCTGGATAAGACCAGACAACCTGTGAGGGCCACAAATGGGCAGAGGGATGTATTTGACATGAGTGAGTAGCCAGAACCTGCCCTGGATCATATATATGTCTAAAATGGTATGATGTTGAAGTACGTGGGAGCAGTGTTAATCACCTCCAAGGTGCTTTCTTGCACACCATAGCTTCTAATGTACAGTATTGGTGCCCTCTACTGTAGGTCACCATGTATTGTGCATGTGAATAACCCATATTAACAAACTAAGACACAGTTCTCTCCTTCAAAGTTCTCAGTATATGTGATATTTTATACTGAATTATTAAATTAAAATGGGACACCTCTAGTCTGAGGTGTGTGTGTGTGTGTGTGTGTGTGTGTATATGTATATATGTATATATGTATATATATATGTATGTGTATATATATATATATATATATATATATATATATATATATATATATATATATATATATATATATATATATATATATATATATGATAAAGAGATGCACTCTCAGGACTTGAAAAAATAATTAATTTATTCCAGCAGGTATAACATCAAAGTTTGCCGACGTTTCGACCCATTCGGGTCTTTCTCAAGGTCAATGTACCTGTGCTTACAAGCCATTTATATAGGACATAAAAAGAAGTACTCACCAATCTGTGAAGAACCCCCTGAATCCCTCCGTGCACACCTGGAAGTGAAACCGGAAATAGAACCCACGATCACATGATCCATGCATAAGTGATCATGTGGTGTTGCTAAGATACCGATAGGAAAACAATTAATTATAAGATCGGTAAATATCTCATAGATGTGCAAGTGAAATGTCTAATATCAATCTATTGATGAAATCTGATTAAAGTACAGAGTGCATGAATCCGCAAAAATGCAGCCTAATATAAAAAAATAAGCAAAGATCATAAGATCAAATATACTGTGTAAAGTGTCACCATATATCTAAAGAAGTGATCAAAAAAATAAAGAATGTTATGTTAAAAACATTTCACCAACCATGTCAAGTTTAGAAGGCATTTAGCTGAAGCAATCTATAACATAAAAAGAAAAAAAAGCCATTAGAATAAAGGCTCCAAAAAACCAATAAGGATCACAAATATACTTAGAGAAAAAGGGAAACCATATGATTATTCAAAGAACATTATTATTAAAGAAACATAGAGAGCACAATATTCTCGTTGAGTCCTCTTGGTGTCACTGTGTCCAGCCGATGGATCCATTGTGCCTCACGTTGAAGTAGTTTCTTTGATCTGTCACCCCCTCTGGACATTGGGGGGACATGATCAATAGCCGTGAAACGTAACAGAGGAAGTCTATGTTGCATATGGAGGAAATGTTTAGCGACTGGCTTATCGCTATATTGATCTCTAAATGCTGTTGTTATGGTCGACCGATGTCCCCTTATGCGGTCTCTCAACGTCAAGTCGGTTTTGCCAACGTACGAAAGTCCGCAGGGACATGTGATCATGTATATCACATGGTCAGTGGTACACGTGATATAATGAGATATTTTAATTCTCTGACCGCTATGGGGATGAGCAAAGGTCGATCCACTTATGCATGGATCATGTGATCGTGGGTTCTCTTTCCGGTTTCACTTCCGGGTGTGCACGGAGGGATTCAGGGGGTTCTTCACAGATTGGTGAGTACTTCTTTTTATGTCCTATATAAATGGCTTGTAAGCACAGGTACATTGACCTTGAGAAAGACCCGAATGGGTCGAAACGTCGGCAAACTTTGATGTTATACCTGCTGGAATAAATTAACTATTTTTTTCAAAGTCCTGAGAGTGCATCTCTTTATCCTCTATATATTTTATCTACATGGGATTGCACCCAGGCGATATTGAGCTACACATTTGAAAGGGTGAGTGCCAAGAAAAACATTGTTTTATTTATATATATATATATATATATATATATATATATATATATATATATATATATATATATATATATATATATATATATATATATATATATATATTCCCTATTTGTTAGTTTTGCAAACAGAAGATTATTAATAATGTGAAGTTCAGTGAATAACCCAGTAAAGACTACAGGGAGTTAGCGGGACTTCTAATTTTTTTTTTTTTTAAATGTTTTTTTTTTTTTAGAGCCGTTTGAAGATGCTTTACCCTCCAGTCAGGCTGTTGTGACCATGGAGGAGCAGCTGAAAAGAGAGCCTTGGTACCACGGAAAGATGGCCAGGAAGGAAGCGGAGAGACAGTTGAGAGTGAATGGAGATTTTCTAGTACGAGAGAGCACCACCACACCAGGGCAGTATGTACTGACTGGCCTACAGAATGGACAGCCAAAACACTTACTATTGGTGGACCCGGAAGGAGTGGTGAGCAAAGGGAGGAGTTTGGGACTAATACGAGAGATTGATCCTCTGGAAGGGTAACCCATATGATCGCTATCAGTAGATCTTTTTGCACAGGAGTATGGCAATGGGTTAAAGAATACAATGTAATAGTATAAGGAGATCAAGTTTGAAGCTGGTAGCAGGTGCTTGAATTGGCCTCTTAAAGAAGGAAACTAAAGGATTAGACACGCTAAGATCAAGTAAGATAGGAATATAGTGATTAAGCACTCTAGGATCAGGAACATTGGATATATGGAGATAAAGCATGGTATTGGCAGGAGAGACTGATAGATGGAGATTAGACATTCTATAAGCAGGAGAGACTGATAGATGGAGATAAGACATGTTGAAGGCTAAGCATGTTTGAAATTAGGCAGACTACAGTGGGGTTAAGAGCAGTCTGTGCGCAGTAGGGTTATGTTAGATGTATTCATACTAAGCGTCATTAGGAGAGCTCAGTATATTAAGAATGACCACACTCTTGTTGAGATGCGGCAGGGAATCCAGTTTCTCTTACTTTTTTCTTTTGTGTGTATTCAATTAATCGTAAGCACCATATCTCACGATTTGACATGCCACGACAGAGAGTTGATCTAAGAGGTTGATAAGAGGTATCGAACTCCCAATCTTCCACTGAATAAACTTTCCATGGTGCACAAACTCCAGCCAAACAATATATTTCAAAAGAGCGTGCATTCACCGGACTTTCTTGCAAAAACATTAAGGCTCGGAACACAGGAACCCAGAAAGTGAAGGGTTAACCCACAAATACCAGTGAGTGTTAAACAAGGAAGTCCAGGACCGGAAACCTAAAGTTATAGTGATTTATACACATCACTGTGTGTGATAGAGATTTATTCAATGGATAAAACAAACAATACAATCAAAGTATTATTATAATTAAAGTAACTGCATTGCTACAATGCTAAATAATGTGATATAGCAACATAGTATAATGTAACACGTAAAGCTCAAATAGATCCTAGTATTAAAACCTCAATTAGCAATACTCCTTAAACCGTATAAATCACATTGCTTTTGCACTCTCTATTCAGAAATAAAAGGGAAATAGACCTAAATTTCATCATCCTATAATACTATAGTAAACATTAATAAGAGGTGGCTCTAGTTTGAGATAAATATTTGATTGTATGCTTTCCTTTGCCAGGTTCGAACAAAAGACCACAGATTTGAGAGTGTAAGTCACCTTATCAGCTACCATATGGACAATCACTTGCCAATAATCTCTGCTGGAAGCGAACTTTGTCTCCAACAACCTGTGGAGAGGAGACAGTGAGATCAGATGCTGATCCGTCCAGAGCCCGCCTGCACACCCTCCAACCCTCTGTGGATACCACATTTCACTTCCTTGTTGCCTCAATCCTCTCCTCTATAAAGCGAATGACTTCTTAGCCAGGGTATGGGGCATTCTGTATAGAAGGGGTTCAGCATGGTTCTTACTGTCACTGCACTAGCAGAGCCATGTTGGTTACAGCACCCCTCTGCCTTGGAATCTTTACGATCACGTGAACTCTGTAAAACTGGGATGGTGGAGCTGTTTCTCAGTCGGTAGAACCCAGAATGTAAACACAATCATGCAGACTGAGAGTCCCACTGGTTCTGAAGAGAGGGTTGGCAATGGAAGAGGGACTCTCTCCATCTATAGGGAGACTAAGCACTTCTGCGGCAGATCCTTCCTCAGCACAACTACAGGGTTCATCAAAGCACACAATCCTTACTGTGATTATGCTTACCAAAACTGACCTGTGCCTTTTACCTGATGATTTTTCACTTTCTTCTTTATTTTTTTTGTATTTTATTTTTTTTCATTTTCATGGTGTCCTGACTTTTCAGAAAATTAAGCTTGCAAGCCTTTATAATATGTGAGACTGCCAACGATCTATGCTAGAGAATGGCAGACCATATACATGTTCATGCACAGGAGAGGACCGATTACAGGCCGGTTGTGCATTTGTATTCATGATTATCTAAATTTTCAATCAAATCACAATAGCACCTGACGTTAAACAGTCTTTGAAAATTATACATCCTAATGGTTGAACTGAAAAATAAGCATCAAATTATTTTTCCATCTTGGTTTTTGGCCTAAAATGTGCTTTTAGGCCCTTGTTAGTCCTCCCGTTCCTCAGTTAATAAACAAAATTGTGTTCTGTTGGCAGAGTTATAACCCAATAAACGGCAATCAGAAAGGAGAATTCTGTTTTCTGTAACAAATAGAAAGCCTCCCTATATGCAATATGGGCTTTACAGCAGAATAAAGTTCACGGGACTTTTTTATTTATTTTTTTTAAGCGCCCCCCCCCCTTCCACTTTTTTAACTCTATTTGTAATACAAATCAAATATTTTTTTTCTTATCCTCTACAGTAATATAAACTGTCTTAGCGTATTGGTCCTTTGTATTTGCGACCTATTATAAGAGAAAATACAGGCATATAAATGAACCCTGCGTTCTGTCAGTGTAATATTCCCCTGTTGCCATTTAACACGCTCTTGCTACCATAAGGCAGAGTGGCTTTAAATGTAGACAATGCAGAGGATCATTTATGATGGTTTGTAATTATGCACCATTAAATTTTCCTGTTCGAGACCTGATCGTAGAATTTCCAAAGAGAAATTATGGTGCAGAAGAGCTAAATGTTTCTGTATAGAAAACTATTCTGAGTCAAAATCTTATTAAATAGTGCAATTTCATGTAAAACAATAGAATGTTCTTCAATTAGATTAAATAAGGTGCCTTGGTACTCTCATCATAAGAATATATTTTGGCATTCTAGTATTAGTCTCTTTCGGTTCTTCCAACCCCCCTCTGTGACCACAAAGATTAGTTCTATATAAGTTCATTCTTATGTGTACATCATCCACTATTAACCGGTCTATGTGTTGTATTCTCCCCCAAACAATCTACCAATGTGATGGATAGGGAGGCAATTTAAATCCCATTTTTATATTTTGACAAAATGCCTACATAAACCGTTTCTATTGGTGTTTTGGTGCAGGCTACAATGGGCTGATCTTTGCCACAGAATCTTTTATTATTATAAAAAATTTTTTTTTTTTTTTATATCCTATAAAGAGAAAAAATATCCTGTCCATTAGACTCTAATCCCTATATAATGACGAAGCCCAGATTGTATTGGGTTAAGTTATTCTTTGTGCGAAGGCAGTGGAGTATCAATAAGGGTTAATTTTGCAGGCGATGTGAAGACATAATGTACCAGGGGGTGGGGGTGGGTGGAAGGAAATGCACAAATTGATTGTTATCTTTGCGTAATCATGTACAGAACCCGCGTCCACATTTTGCATGCTTCACTTTGTATTCTGATACCAAAGTCTCGCTGTTGGCACGTAGAACATATCAATCATTTTACACAGATTTTCACGTCACAATTTGTTTTATTCTATGTTTAAGGTTTGTTTTTGTTTTTTTGTTTTTTTTTTAAACAATATGCCTTGATTATACCAAAGGAAAGAAGAAAATGCTTATTAAAATTAGTATTTCTTTACAAAACAACTGTAAACCTAACCATTGTGTATTTTTGTTTTTATTTCATTTTAGCCATGGGGGAGGGATGGCCACGTCTTTGTTTGCATCTAATGCTTTTGAATAATTTCAACATTATTATATATTATTAAGATGGCCCCGAGCAGTGCTCTCTATTCCTGCTGTAAACGCTTTGAAATTAAGGTGTTTTTTTTTTTTTCTTAGTAAGGGCATTTACAGTTGGTTACAACACTGGAACTTGAAAAGTTGCCAAATTGTTTTTTGTTTTTTTATTTTAATCTTTTTTCCCAATTTGGGCTATGAGGTCTAAATTTTACTTTTCGTCAGCTGATTGGTAATGAAAACAATTTTATTAATTTTTTATATTTTTCTGGTGCACAGTTTCACCTCCCCAATTTTGAAAGTGTGTGTACCCCTACTGACAGGCAATTCTATGAATCTAATAGCTGCTGGGGGGAACAAAATAGTAGAGTAAACCATTACACCTGTTATTTATTACATGTAATTATATATAATAAAAATATGTATATTATATGTAACCTGGCAGACATTAATTTAGTTTGAATGCACAACCCAGCATAACTGTGTGTTGCCGAACTCAATAGTACTTGTGGGTCTTGTTCACTGAGCAGTGTTTTGTGTTGAATTGGATACTGAATTGCAAAATTTAAGCCATAATAATGAATTTGTAAAAACGCCCAGATTGGAGAATTTTTTTCTCTTTTAGCCTAACTTTCACAAGATCATTTCACCACTTACGGTTTCTCCTACTTGGCTATAGTTCTGTTTCATTTCAATACAGTTCAGATTTCAGTGCATAAACCTCCCAGCGAATGAACACATGTATTGAACAATCTCTCTGCCTATTCAATGGTTTGAGGATGATGGGAGTTGGTGTTCATTCACAGTTTGAGTGTGTAAATCAACCCAATGATTTTGGTTGTTTAGAAACCGTTGCTTAACGGCCCATCCTGACTTCATCAGTGTGCTGTGAGGGCCAGGCAGGGAGGTCGGGCATTGGGATTGATTGGATTTTATTTGCTCCACGGAACACCCAGTGGGCATCAGTCACCTTTCCCTGGGCAGTAATGTGTCACAACAGATCATTCTGCTCCTCTTACTTAAAAGCACTCAACAGACCCTGCGAGGCTAGAATAAAAACAATGTAGTAAAGCATTAGGAAACAAGGGTCCGAATTGTCGGATTATATGCCCTGAAAAACCTACACTGTCTAGCTTGTAATTTAGGAAGCCTCATACAGGGTTATTTACTTATGTTAAAATTCTCAGGAATTTAGAGTGAATTTAAAATTTTAAGAGCAACTTAGTGACTCTAGAAGCATGTTTGACTTGTAGACCTTTTCCAGTCTGGTTATTGGGGCTTTAAAATTCACTTTGAATGTTTCACAATTCTCACTGTAGTGAATAACCTGATTAACCTCATTATCAACAGTAGTACTTCTATGTTATCAATGGTATGTTTGGATAGATTGTACAGCGCTACAGAATTTGTTGGCGCTATATAAATAATAAAATAATAATAGATCAGGAATTAAAATTGTCATTGTGAGATCTCTTTTCGGAGTGGACTTGAATTTTCTCTAGCATCTTTAGAGGAATGCTATAGGCACCCAGACCACTAAATCTTAGTGTCTCCGTCTGGGGACTTTGCAGAATTTACAAAGATCCCCGAATGTGACATTGCCGCTGGGGTATCCAGTGGCTAAGGGGGCAGTGATAGATGCCTTCTACTTACCTGGTCCCTCTTCAGCATGGGCACGAGTACAGCATTAATATCTATAGAAAGCCAATTCCATGCAGCCGTCACTGGTGACTTTTGGAGGATTGACACTTCTAGACAACGGTGTCCCCTCCTAGCCATCCCTCACTCCGCCTTGGGAAGTGTCAGGCTTGGGAAAAATACAGAAGACAAACTAATCCCCCCTGTGTCTTTGTTTTTGGTTCGAAAAAGAGAGACCGAGTAAGAAAGAGGAAGAGATTGGAAAAAGGTAAGTATGGCGTGACAGTGCGGCTTTAATGAACTGGTCTAGGTGCAGTGGCCCTGTCGTTTTTGCCCTTCAATATATAACATTGTGTTTTGTTGGTTTTTCTTTTGTGCAGTGTGGTTTGTTACATTGCTAGACACACCTGCAGTGGCTCTCTTTCTGACAGCCACTAGAGGGTGCTTCCTTTCCTACAATTGAGTCAAACTAAATTCTATGACATTAGATATCTTTAACAATTGCTTGAGGATGTCAGATGTCCTGTGATGCTCATCATAGAGGAGCATTGGTTTCAATGCTTCTCTATCACAAAAATTTTGATTGTAGGTGCTCTATGAGAAGCGAAAAGAGACATCTTGCAGGAAGACTGCATGGGTGGGGAAACGTGCAGCTGCAGAGAGTAGTGGATCTCGGCGCTGGAAACAAGCTTAGTAAAACAGTCTGTGGTTTTTTTTTGTTTTTTTTTTAATTCAATTTGGGGGGGATGATTGTAAAATACTAATAGCATTAGGAATATGTATTTGTATTCTATTATAGAGTTACTTAAAAAAATTAAGTGTGTATATAATATATATTATATTTTATTCATCACCTGCATATCTCAAGTTGGAATTTGAGAGTCCTCTTTTGACACAGAAAGTTGAAAAAAAAAAAAAATATCTAGTTTGCACAACTATCCCAGAGTTCCCAGTTTAACATGTAAATTAGCAGACAGGCATTGTGTTTCACACTTCAAACTGCATTTCTGCAGATACCTTTCGCAATGAACACTTTTAAACACAGTTTATTTAAAAAAGAAACATTTCTTTATACCAAAGCATGGGTTATGCCAGCGACGCATATAAGTAATATTTCAATTGGTACTGTTGTGGGATTTATCTGGTTTGATCTCATCATAATAATTTCCGTGTATGTGTGTATATGTATATATATATGTATATATATAACAAGAATCGGTAAAGGGAGCACACTAGGACTTCATTAGGAAAAATAAGCTTCTTTTATTAAATGCTTACCAAAGCATAGTCTGTGTGAAAAAATCAACGTTTCGACCCTCCTGGGGTCTTTATCAAGATCACAGTAACATAGTTAATCAAACCAAATATATACAGAAATAGTAGTGACAGCTTACCAATGAAGCGATCGAGCAGCCGACCGGCAGAAAAACCCGGAAGTGAAAACACCACGTGGACGTGAAGCGTAAGTGACGTGGTTGCTAGGCAACCAGACAAACTAAAAGCGAAAAAGTAGATACATAGTATGTAAATGTATCTAACCATCCGTCCGGGAATGGAGGAACTAATTATGATAGCCGAAACAGTGGAGATACCTCTGTGGTGAACTAGTGATCCTGCAGATAATACAAAAATCCTGCAGTGTGAGAAGCAATCATGAAAGAGTACTCCAAAAGAGCGGCTAAACATAAAAAACAAAAAAATAAATAAATAAATAAAATATAAAAATAAAACTAAAAAATAGAAACTATAAATGTATAAAAAAATGCTGAATAGAAAATAAATAAATAAATAAATAAATAATGAAGAAATGAAAATATAAATCAATATAAAAGTAAAGATAAATATAAATAAATATAATAAATAAATAATAATAAGTAAACAATAAAAAATAAATAAAGAATAAAGAAATATATAAATATAAAGAATGAATAAAATAAAAAATAAACACTAATAAACAACTAGGACACAAGCCAGATACTCCATCCACTGAATTTATGTTAAAGCTACAGAATGATATACAGAAATACCAAAATGATTTGATTAGGTTTAAGAGATTAAAGGTTGAAAAAGTTAACCATGATTATAAATATCATCAAGTATATCGTTGGTTAAGTGGATCGGATACCCAGACACGTAATCCCACTCCAAGATTTAGAACGCGGATCAGAAAACCATCACTGCAAACAGTAGACATCAGTTCAGGTGAATCAGCATCTGAAGGTGATAACAGAGATGATCAAACAATAAAGAAACAGGTTACTTTTTTAAAGGGAGGTCAGCATATGAACGATCCCCCACGGATGACCAACACTACTACAACAGACGGACGAGACATAGGAGACACATCAGACGTGGACAAACGAATTACAAGAAATACAGGCAATACAGGAAAACCTCCCAGGCAACGGAGGTAATTCCTATCTTTAATCTATCTGGTAAGCTTTTGGATCACAATCATGTGTCGCTGCTACAAAAGGGTCTCACTTTTATACCGGTGGCCAAACCTAAGAAATTTGAAATGGCTATTGACTTATACAAATTACAAAGAACACTTTACAGCAATGAAATAAGGAAGGATGAAACACGCAGTACTATGCATACGTTTCCTAATCGGATAAAAAAGGATATTTTTACACCCAATCCGTCGATAAAAATATTTATGCAAATGCTTCGCCATGATGTCTATTCAACACTGTCTGCAATACCCCTTCACAGGGATAACTTGTCGAAAGAGGAACATATTGCTTTAAAGGATCTAATGCAAGACCCTACCATCATAATTAGACCAGCGGATAAGGGCGGCGCCGTTGTGATACAAACATATGTGGATTACAGAAATGAAATTATGCGTCAGTTGAATGACGAATCAACATATCGGAGACTCACATTTGATCCTGTCAGCAAGTTTCAAAGAATGATTGACAACTTATTGAATTGGGACTGTCACGTCGGTACCTAGATGAGAATACTGCTAAGTTCCTATATGTAAAATATCCAAAACACCCTGTTTTATACACTCTACCAAAAGTGCACAAGAGTCTTGAACATCCGCCGGGTCGGCCAATCGTGTCCGCAAAGGAGGGCTTATTAGAACCAATTGCACAATTTATCGATCATCACATCAATGCAAGTGTTAGAAAGCTCCCCACTTGCCTCAGGGACACGCAACATTTTATTGATCAGATAAGATCTATTACTCTTACGGACAAAGAGATCATCCTGGCTACATTAGATGTTCAAAGCCTGTACACAATAATACCTCACAAGGAGGGAACTGAAGCTATATCTGAGATATTACTTAACGATGAAATGTACAAAGGTCCACACATTCCCTTCCTCATTGAGTTATTGAATGTAGCGTTAACATGCAATTATTTCAAATTTGAGGATCAATTCTTTTTACAAATTTCCGGGACTGCGATGGGGGCAGCCATGGCACCAGCTTATGCCAATGGTTTCATGCACTGGTTTGAAAACAAGTATATCTTATCCAAATACCAGCAACATATCATCAAGTACCTCAGATATGTTGATGATATCTTTGTCATTTGGCAGGAATCATTGGCCTCTCTGGAAGAGATGATTCAATATATCAATACTCTACCACTTCCAGTGGTATTAACCTTAAACTGGCATAAGACCAGTATTGAATTCCTAGATGTCACCATATTTAGAGAGGGGAACCATTTGGGCTATACCTTGTTCCGGAAAACTACGGACCGCAATACTCTATTATCGGCTACCAGCTTCCATCCTCAGCATGTCAAAGATTCTTTGCCCATCTCACAATTCCTTCGGGTTTTAAGATATAATAGCAATGTGACAAAACGGGAAGAACAATTACAAGAAATATGGAACCGGTTCTTAGCCAGAGGTTTTCACCCTCGGATTCTCATGAATGCTAAACAAAGAGCGTGGAAAAAATTCAATGAAACCACCACAGCGAATGGAAATAAGACCAAGAATATTTTCCTGCCACTCACATTCAATACAATTACTCCACTATTAAAGAAGTCCATATATGCACACTGGAATATTCTTCAAAGCGACAGCACTCTTCCAGTCAGATTTAAAGGTAACCCGACTATCAGTTACCGACGTAATCGTAATCTGAGGGATTTATTAGTTAAAAATGATCCCCGTCACTGCTACACAAAAACAACAGGCATCAAGAAAAAAGGATGCTATAAGTGCACAGGCTGTGTTACATGCAGCCATATGCTTAGTGGATCTACATTTGCCCATCCACACAGCGGGAAAAGAATTCCAATTACCTACTATATTACGTGTATGACCACACATGTTGTCTATATGATCACTTGCCCATGTGGACTCTCCTATGTTGGGAAAACGGATATGACGCTAAGAGACCGTATGAGGGGACATCGATCTGGAATTATAACCGCGTTCAGAGACCACAAGACAGATAAGCCCGTGGCGAAGCATTTTTTGTCTGCACAGCATCCACTACCTACGCTTCGCTTCATAGCCATTGACCATGTTCCTATGTTGCCACGAGGGGGTGACAGATCCAGAATACTTTTACAACGTGAAGCTTACTGGATACACTATCTGGACACTGTGACTCCTAAGGGACTAAATGAAAATTTGGTTCTCTCTATGTTTTTATAAGCTTTGTTCTGCCCACTCTGTGGTATGTGTAATCTCCGTTCCTCCTGTCATCTTATGGTATCCTTCTTCATCTTTCTCCTGTTCTGTTAGGCTTAATACTGTAAGTTATGAGGCTATATAATTCACCCAGTTAGATTACTAGTGGGTAGTGTTTTGCTACTTTAGAGCATATTGATAATCCATAGGCTATGCTCTTATACTTTGCCTCAGTGGCTCTGGCTTGTGTCCTAGTTGTTTATTAGTGTTTATTTTTTATTTTATTCATTCTTTATATTTATATATTTCTTTATTCTTTATTTTTTATTGTTTACTTATTATTATTTATTTATTATTTTTTATTATATTTATTTATATTTATCTTTACTTTTATATTGATTTATATTTTCATTTCTTCATTATTTATTTATTTATTTATTTATTTTCTATTCAGCATTTTTTTTATACATTTATAGTTTCTATTTTTTAGTTTTATTTTTATATTTTATTTATTTATTAATTTTTTTGTTTTTTATGTTTAGCCGCTCTTTTGGAGTACTCTTTCATGATTGCTTCTCACACTGCAGGATTTTTGTATTATCTGCAGGATCACTAGTTCACCACAGAGGTATCTCCACTGTTTCGGCTATCATAATTAGTTCCTCCATTCCCGGACGGATGGTTAGATACATTTACATACTATGTATCTACTTTTTCGCTTTTAGTTTGTCTGGTTGCTTAGCAACCACGTCACTTACGCTTCACGTCCACGTGGTGTTTTCACTTCCGGGTTTTTCTGCCGGTCGGCTGCTCGATCGCTTCATTGGTAAGCTGTCACTACTATTTCTGTATATATTTGGTTTGATTAACTATGTTACTGTGATCTTGATAAAGACCCCAGGAGGGTCGAAACGTTGATTTTTTCGACTATGCTTTGGTAAGCATTTAATAAAAGAAGCTTATTTTTCCTAATGAAGTCCTAGTGTGCTCCCTTTACCGATTCTTGTTATATATGCAACGCGGGATGCACCTAGGCTGGATAATACTTTTCTGAAAAGCTTAGTTAAAGGAGGTGTGCCTAACAACTTGTTTTTGATATATATATATATATATATATATATACACACACACACACACACACACACACACACCCCCATCCCCCATCCCCCATCCCCCATCCCCCATCCCCCATCCCCCTATATTAAAACCACTAGAATTGAACACTCTTTATTGAGGCAACGATGTATGGGACCCAGATTTCCCTAATGACGCTTTAAGCATACTATGAGCAGATGTGTAGTTCAATCTGCATTTGATTGATTTACAGTTGTATATTTAACACACCCAGGTTTATTTTTTTTAATTGAAAAGTAAAACTGGCATACTTTCCATTTATAATGTAAGTGGGATAATTTCATTTTTGCACCTGTCCCTCTTCTTACTGTTCCGTTTTGGCTATTTGTTCTAGGTTTTTTTTTTTTTTTTTCCTAACATGCAGTACCATCTATAACCACTGCGTGTCTGAGAAAGGATACATTAATCTGAATTTAAAGTGAACCCGTAATGGATATAAAATCACTTGCCTTATATCGCTCCCATATACAATATATCCCAAAGATACATGGTGTATTCAATGTAACATATAAACATATACTGACTTCCTCCATCCCAGCAATGCTTCGTAGGTGTTACTCTTTATGTAACACTCCCCTCCTAGCCATCCCTCACTCCGCCTCTGATATTATTTGATTTTTCCATGCTTCGGACGCGTCCCCAAGCAGGCCAGATGTTATCAGTGATGGCACACTGGCTTAGTTGCTGGCGTCGGAGTGACGTCATTCCATTCCTATACTCCTTAGCCGGCGCGTGCACTGTGGTTACTATGGGAGGAGAGCAGAGGTCTTTTCTGCTTTCCCATAGCCAATGCCTAGGATCATATGGCACTGATTGACACCTGGGTAAGAAAACTATATATAAATAGGCTTTTCTCCTAATCTATACATATGCTAGCAAAACTGCTAGCACAATGTATAGATACAATCCCACACGCAATCTAATGAGCATAAAGTGTTTGGGGCGTGGCCGGTGCCCTTTAAATGATTTCTCACTTATAAACCAGAAACATGTACTGCAGGGCTATACCATTATTTGGAAAACATACAAGTATACGATGGCAAATCGATATTTAAGGACCGCTGAATTCACCCAGCACTTTAGAATGCACTGGCCCTGTAGTTTTAACTAGCGGCTATCTTTCTTTTCTTTTTTTTTTGTGGCATATTTCCTTTTTATTGAGGCTATTGCAGTTTTGTCTGTCGTTGATAAGTTAAGAGCAATCATGGTTGTGGGGTTGGTCGCGGGTAACATGTGGAGCAAGTAGCTCTCGGGAGATTTTGGTAGTGGCAACTCGGTGACTGAGTGTATGAGCGTTTCGATATTAGACCAGAATGAGTTTAGGATGGGGCATTCCCAGGAAATGTGCAATAGCGTCCCCGGTGCACCTATGCATCTCCTGCATACTGGGGAAGCGGTTGGGAAGATTTTGGACAGTATTAGGGGGACTAGGTACCAGCGCATAGCGATTTTACAGTAGGTTTCCCATAGGGACAGGCTTTAGGAAGCTTATTTAGTGATAGTAAAGGCTTTGCGCCATTGCTGCACGGGAAACATTCTCCTGATGTCCTCCTCCCATCTCCCCATGTATGGGAGTTTATGCTGTGCAGTCATGTCCCATAGTGCGTTGTAGCATAGGGATAGGGGTTTGATTTGAGCGGGAGGACAAAATGTAGCGTGTGGATAGTGGCACTGAACTTTGTGTGTCTACTGCGAGCGTGGTGTGTGCTTGCAATATGTTTTTTGACTCTTAAGTACAGGAATAGGTCCCTGGGAGCCAGAGAAAATTCGCTTTGCAGGACTGGGAATGCCTTTAAGTTATCCTGCTCATATAGATCCTGTACTTTGCGGATACCCAGAGCTGACCATTTGTGGAGAGCCAGATTAGGAGAGCTGGCCTGCAGTGCCGTGATTAGGGCTGCCTTAATTAGTGATTTTGTATTGATCACCACTGAGGCCCAAGCCCTCCATGTGACCAGAGTGGTCTTTGTACACCACAATGCATCTTTCCCCATGGTGTTCATGCACTTGTCCACAGGGCATTCGTCAGAGTGACTGGGTGAAGGCATGTGTTCTCGAGTGTTAACCAAAGAGGGGCCTGTTCCGTAACCGGGGACCTAATCAGTCTCAGACCTTGTGCTAGTAGCGAAGCTCTGTGGTAATAACGAATGTCAGGGATGCCCAGCCCGTCCTTGGTGTAAGGGAGGCCCAGCTTGGTGGTGGCCATTCTGGGAGGCT